GGGGGGGTCGTCTCGGGGCCCACCAGACGTGACCCGTTACACGGGCTGGTGATTTGTGAGGGGAGAGGGGGGCGGGAGGGGAAGCTGGAAGCTGGACCAGTGGGTCCCGTCCGGCCCAGCCTCCCAGCCCCGCGCCCACGGACACTCTCGCGGACATGCAGGGAGACGTTACGGCAGTTACGCCTTTGTTCAATAAGGTGCGCCGTCCAGAGCGATGCGTTCTGCAGAGCCATCAGGGCAAGAAAGGGTGCAGACTGCAGAGTCTCGTTGCGGGTGTGGTTCGCGTTCGAAATCGTTGCCGCGCTGAGTTGCGAATGGCTATGCGAACCGTCTCACTCAGTAGTCGCAGTTACTATGATCATCAAACACGAGCACCCCGGAGACGAAAACTCATACCCCGGCGGCTCGAGCATAGTGTGTTGATGGAAGCTTTCCATGCAGCTCGCGGTTTTTAAGTACGGGAGGACCGCAGGCACAGTCTGCATGCGCCCTTATGAAAACACGGCCTTAAGCCCGAGGGGGAGCCGTCGGTACACAGAGAGGGATTACACGTGTACCCTTGAGACGGTCCCGTCCCCGGCCGTGGAAGGGGGCGAGCAGCTCGCGCGCACGAATTATGCATGGAATTTTTTTTAGGGGGTTGCGGTGGGTAGGCGCGGTAGGCACACGCCATACCTTCTTTAATGCGAAACTTGAAGTTGAGTAGAGTTTTTGATTGGTTTGGTTAAGACAAGTGTATCTCCGCGTAGAGCGCGCCTTACGTCTCCGAGTAGGCAACCTGCACACACGCGTGCGTGTGGTCCCAAACGCCACCGGCGTTGCTTTATAGCCCACCCAGGCCTAATCCCCTTTGTTTTTTGTACTTAGACAGTCCCCAAGACTGTCTCTACCGAAATGCAAAGGAGTGTTTCTGTGCCCGTCGACTCCTCTCCGCCTCTGGTAAACGCCACACTGGCAACTACTGACTTGACGACCCGCGAGGCCTCTTTTGGCCCAAAGGTTTCGATCCGACCGGAGTCGTTCTTTACTAGGCCCTTCCACCGGGGCACGATTGGACCCTAGTAGATGCACGCGGCACGCGGCGAACGAAGCTGAGCCTCCACCGGCCCCCACGCGCTCCCCATACGCCACTGTCTACCTGGTACCTCACCAGGTTCCATAGGCTTATCAGTGAAACTTGGAAGCTGTCTGTTTGCGCTGCAGACTCGCAAAAATAAGTAATGTAAGACGCGTGGCGAAATAAATAAAAATTTCATGGTCTGCATCCCACCCGCGGCCCTCTTCCTTATTTGGGGCGGAGGGGGGTGAGGGCAGTGTGGGCAGGCAGGGAGGGAGGGTGCCGCTTCGCCGTAGGGCTTCTCGGGGCGCTGACCGCACTGCCCTAGGTCAACAACAGGCCCCTCAGACCCCCCCCCCCCCGGCCTCTCCGCGCGGCCACCACTGGCTTACAGGAGGAGCGGTTGCATGCAGTGGCGTTATCACAGTGGGACGATGATGCACTGCATATATGCTCTATTGGGTTTTTATTAGCGGGTGATCGGTCGGAGCACGGGCTGTGATGGGGAAAACTGGGCAATTGCCGTAATGTCGTTCCCATACAACGTGGCGTTTATAGTTGGTCCCAAAAGTATCAGCTCCATTATTTGAGTCTATAGGACCGGGGGGAGAGGGGGGGGGGTTATAGACTCCAATGGTGAACCTGATACTTTTTAGAAATCCATAATATTTTTTTCACCCCCTAGATCACATGGTATGTATGGGAACAACTACCTAATCCGATTGCATGAGCTGTGTTAGGGTAGGTTAGGAAAGGATAGGTCCAGCACAATGAACGGTATAGCGCAGGCCACATCTAGTATCGACGGAGTGCGTGAATCCACTTTTTCAAATCATGGCGTGCTCCAGGTGACCGGGCTCGTGCTGCTCTCGATCGGGGCCGCCATCAAAGCCGCCTACTATGGCTACCACGTATTCCTGGACGACGCCTACTTCTCGGCGCCCAACCTTCTCATCGCCGTCGGCCTCATCATCCTGCTGGTGTCCTTCCTGGGCTGCTGCGGCGCCGTCAAGGAGAACCACTGCATGATCGTGTCGGTAGGTAGACGTGATGCATTCCGGTGGGAATTCCCTTTGGTTTACAGCATGTGGCCGGGATAGGGAGTCCCCTCCTATGCAACGACGGAGACGCTACGACTGAGCGAGTTCCTCTCTTCTCTGCCCGCAGTACATCGCTCTCCTCATCCTCATCTTCATCCTGGAGCTGTCTGGCGGTATCGCCGGCTATGTCTGCAGGGACAAGGTCGAGGAGGTACTGAAGGAGAAGCTCACGGAATCGATGATTAACTACGGCGACCCCAAAGACCCCGTCACCAAACTGTGGAATACCATCCAGTCCAAGGTATAGCGTCATTTTTAGCGATGCGTTCTGCGTCCTCTGCTCCCTTTGCAGCTCGGTCGCGGCCAACCTAAAACGGCCATTCCAAATTTCCCGAACAAAAAAAAAAAAAAATCAAAAAAAAAAATCAATTGGCCACTGTCTAAAACTGCAGTTCTTATTAATATACGCTAAAGTGCTCATTAACCCCTTCGATTTCTTCCAGTTCGAGTGCTGCGGCGCCGAGAGCTACAAGGACTGGCTTAAGCCGCCCGTCGCCAAAACAACGAACGCAACGAACGTGCCGGTGTCCTGCTGTCCGCTGCCGTCTGGCTACGGCCCCTTTTACTGCAACGCCACCAGCGATCCATCTATGTACCTGCACGGCTGCACCGAGAAGTTCGGCGAGTTCGTGAGGGACAAGGCGGTGGTCATTGGCAGCACGGGCATCACAATCGCGCTCATCCAGGTAAGTCTCGGCAGAGCTGGTCAGGGGTCTCCTCGGTCCTCGCGACCGCGACCAACTGCGCAACAGACATCGACGACTAAAAGTCGCCCATTGGCAGTCAACACGAACGCGACGATGGACTTGAGATAGCGGCGCCTTTTTCCATATAAAACACTAAACCGACGAAAACGAAAACGGATGGAGCTTTGAACTGCTGGGCAAAGCCCGACATTACACGCACAATGTTTCTAAAATAAAACGTCGATTTTCTATCATTGCAGTTGGTTGGCATCTTGATGGCTTGTCGACTCGCTTCCTCGATGCGCCGGGCAGTGAACGAGCTCACCCCCATGTAGAAGAAGGCAAAAGTGTGAGGAGAGGTTCTCTCGTCTCTAGTTGTTGGAGAGTGAGGGCCGCTTCGACATCTCCGATCATGGTGATGGAAGTTTGTCGTGTTCCTACTGTGTAACGCGGGTGAAGTGGGTGGACTGTTCCCCGTTTCTGCTGTTGAGGTGCAGAGGATAGACTGGTAAATAGTGTTTTGTAACTGTGATTTGTAACTTAGGGGCATTGCAATAGTAGCGAGTGCCATAGTCTTCTTAAAATAAAACTCCTTGTAAATTTCTAACTCTGCATTCCAGTTCAATATTTTGAAAATGTGTGTTTTATTAAGGTTTTATATCAGTACGTGGGGTGATTCTTGCCCTGTAAACCTGTTTTTGCGGGTCAATTTTAAGGTTTTATGGTTTGAAATCCGTTTACAAATTGATCAAAGTCATACCTTTTAACGCTTCCCGTGGCGTTTCTTGTTCAAATCAGTCATATATATTTAAAAAAGAATATAGTTTTCATCTTCAGTGTGTATGCCGAAAGAATGAATGTTGTGTGTGATTTAAGAGTCCAATCGGCAATAAAGAAATACAGAAAGAAAGAAACTCTGCTTTGTTATTTTGTCCGCGGGAGCCTAATTCATCAGTCCCGCCGCCGTCGTCCGCCTCGTGCAAGATGTCAACACGAGTTTGCGCCGGCGGCATAGGCAACCCATCGAGCCTTCGCGCGCGGAGGACGGTCGGAGGCAGCTGGCAGCTGGCAGCGGGCCGGCCGGGCGGCAGCGGCAACACGTCACCGGGATGTGAACAAGTGGGTGGTGTGCAGAAGAGCTTCTGAAGATGGTGGACGGTGGTCGCGATCGATAAATCAAGTAAATTAGTCTGGTCGAATAATAACATCCCCGGAGGTTTTGCCGCGGCCTCAGGAGTCCGACGACGTCCACCCGTGTGGCGGGTGACGGGTGACGGTGCGGTGCGGTGCGACGCCGACGCCGCCGAGTGACGCACCTCGTCCTGCCCGGCCTCGCGACGCCACGCGACGACGCCCCGTGGTGATTAGCGAGGCGCCCCGCGGTCCCCCTCCCCCCTCGCCTCCCCCCTTCACGCCACTGTAGTCGCGACGTTCCTCACAATGTACGTGACGGCGGCCCGTCGGCGGAGTCGTCGGCCAGGCCTGCCTACGGCCTCTGACACAGACAAAAATTCTGTATGCGTATAAGCGTCTCCGTGGTGGTATAACCCGCGAACGTTAACAAACATGGGTAGATGTGCCACCCACTCCCCACACACGACACGACTGCCGCGCGCTGCTGCAAGTGTGGGAGTCGAGCAAGACAATGGGGGAGCAATAAGACCTGCGGCGATGAGGCCGCGCGCTGGGCAGATCAAATCCGCTGGGGTTGAGACCGACGACTCTACGCTGCAGTAGAGTCCTATAGCGGCAGATGAGCAAGACACCCATGACGTTTCTCTCCCCTATAGGACTCTACGCTGCAGTTGTGTCTCTCCTCGGTGGTGGGGCCCTTCGGTAAAGGGCGCCTTCTTCGCCCCGTCCCCGTACTCCTTCATGTGGCCGGGATATGGAGTCCCCTCCTATGCAACGACGGGGACGCTACGACTGAGCGAGTTCCTCTCTTCTCTGTCCGCAGTACATCGCTCTCCTCATCCTCATCTTCATCCTGGAGCTGTCTGGCGGTATCGCCGGCTATGTCTGCAGGGACAAGGTCGAGGAGGTACTGAAGGAGAAGCTCACGGAATCGATGATTAACTACGGCGACCCCAAAGACCCCGTCACCAAACTGTGGAATACCATCCAGTCCAAGGTATAGCGTCATTTTTAGCGATGCGTTCTGCGTCCTCTGCTCCCTTTGCAGCTCGGTCGCGGCCAACCTAAAACGGCCATTCCAAATTTCCCGAAAAAAAAAAAAAAAAATCAAAAAAAAAAATCAATTGGCCACTGTCTAAAACTGCAGTTCTTATTAATATACGCTAAAGTGCTCATTAACCCCTTCGATTTCTTCCAGTTCGAGTGCTGCGGCGCCGAGAGCTACAAGGACTGGCTTAAGCCGCCCGTCGCCAAAACAACGAACGCAACGAACGTGCCGGTGTCCTGCTGTCCGCTGCCGTCTGGCTACGGCCCCTTTTACTGCAACGCCACCAGCGATCCATCTATGTACCTGCACGGCTGCACCGAGAAGTTCGGCGAGTTCGTGAGGGACAAGGCGGTGGTCATTGGCAGCACGGGCATCACAATCGCGCTCATCCAGGTAAGTCTCGGCAGAGCTGGTCAGGGGTCTCCTCGGTCCTCGCGACCGCGACCAACTGCGCAACAGACATCGACGACTAAAAGTCGCCCATTGGCAGTCAACACGAACGCGACGATGGACTTGAGATAGCGGCGCCTTTTTCCATATAAAACACTAAACCGACGAAAACGAAAACGGATGGAGCTTTGAACTGCTGGGCAAAGCCCGACATTACACGCACAATGTTTCTAAAATAAAACGTCGATTTTCTATCATTGCAGTTGGTTGGCATCTTGATGGCTTGTCGACTCGCTTCCTCGATGCGCCGGGCAGTGAACGAGCTCACCCCCATGTAGAAGAAGGCAAAAGTGTGAGGAGAGGTTCTCTCGTCTCTAGTTGTTGGAGAGTGAGGGCCGCTTCGACATCTCCGATCATGGTGATGGAAGTTTGTCGTGTTCCTACTGTGTAACGCGGGTGAAGTGGGTGGACTGTTCCCCGTTTCTGCTGTTGAGGTGCAGAGGATAGACTGGTAAATAGTGTTTTGTAACTGTGATTTGTAACTTAGGGGCATTGCAATAGTAGCGAGTGCCATAGTCTTCTTAAAATAAAACTCCTTGTAAATTTCTAACTCTGCATTCCAGTTCAATATTTTGAAAATGTGTGTTTTATTAAGGTTTTATATCAGTACGTGGGGTGATTCTTGCCCTGTAAACCTGTTTTTGCGGGTCAATTTTAAGGTTTTATGGTTTGAAATCCGTTTACAAATTGATCAAAGTCATACCTTTTAACGCTTCCCGTGGCGTTTCTTGTTCAAATCAGTCATATATATTTAAAAAAGAATATAGTTTTCATCTTCAGTGTGTATGCCGAAAGAATGAATGTTGTGTGTGATTTAAGAGTCCAATCGGCAATAAAGAAATACAGAAAGAAAGAAACTCTGCTTTGTTATTTTGTCCGCGGGAGCCTAATTCATCAGTCCCGCCGCCGTCGTCTGCCTCGTGCACGATGTCAACACTAGTTTGCGCCGGCGGCATAGGCAGCCCATCGAGCCTCCGCGCGCGCGGAGGACGGACGTAGACGGACGGAGGCAGCTGGGAGCGGGCTGGGCGGCAGCGGCAACACGTCGCCGTGAACAAGAGGCGGTGGTGTGCAGAAGAGCTTCTGAAGATGGTGGACGGTGGTCGCGATCGATAAATCAAGTAAATTAGTCTGGTCGAATAATAACATCCCCGGAGGTTTTGCCGCGGCCTCAGGAGTCCGACGACGTCCACCCGTGTGGCGGGTGACGGGTGACGGTGCGGTGCGGTGCGACGCCGACGCCGCCGAGTGACGCACCTCGTCCTGCCCGGCCTCGCGACGCCACGCGACGACGCCCCGTGGTGATTAGCGAGGCGCCCCGCGGTCCCCCTCCCCCCTCGCCTCCCCCCTCGCCTCCCCCCTTCACGCCACTCTCCAGTCGCGACGTTCCTCACAATGTACGTGACGACGGCCCGCCCCCCTCGCCTCCCCCCTTCACGCCACTCTCCAGTCGCGACGTTCCTCACAATGTACGTGACGACGGCCCGTCGGCGGCGTCGTCGGCTAGGCCTGCCTGCCTACGGCCTCTGACACAGACAAAAATTTTGTATGCGTATAAGCGTCTCCGTGGTGGTATAACCCGAGAACGTTGACAAACATGGGTAGATGTGCCGCCCACTCCCCAAACACGACACGACTGCCGCTCGCTGCTGCAAGTGTCGGAGTCGAGCAAGACAATGGGGGAGCAATAAGACCCGCGGCGATGAGGCCGCGCGCTGTGCAGATCAAATCCGCTGGGGTTGAGGCCGACTCTACGCTGCAGTTGTGTCTCTCCTCGGTGGTGGGGCCCTTCGGTAAAGGGCGCCTTCTTCGCCCCGTCCCCGTACTCCTTGCAGTAGGTCACCCCACCCCCCTTCGGCCGTCCCTGCTGAACGCCGACAAAGGGCGTCGCCGCGCCGCACCGCGCCGCCGTCGCCGGGTGGGTGGTTTTGAAATTCGCGCGGGCTACGAGGATATTTTCTTTCTGGATGGTTTCCCCAACTGCTTGTTTCGAGCTTCCCTATTTGCTTTGGTTTATTCAGAGGAAACTTACTGATTCGCGTGAGGTATTTTATTTTTCAAAAGTCTTAGTTCAGTCGACCTAAGTATCTCACAGATAAATGTCGGTGTGTCTAACTTGGTGGGCAAAGTTATTCTTTCCAGCTTGTTGGTTAACCTGGAGTTGTGTTCCGGACGTAAAGAGCGGGCGTACGCAACTGTCAAATCAAGTTTCAAACACTTATTCCTTATTCTGAATTTTTCTGGACATACTTTTTCAGTTATTCAATTTATAACCAGTTCCATGACATTTGAAGTAGCTGCATTTAATTTTAGTGAGTGTGCGTCTTCATCTCAAATTTATGTTAAATTGATATGTTGATCATCTTTTTGAGAGATTACCAATCGACGGTGGTAGAGACAGGTTAGGAATGGGATTGTTATTGTTATTGTTAAATGTCACAAGTAGGAAGTGTCATTAACATTGTGTAGCGACATTTACACTCTGCCAACCACACCATTCAAGTGATTGAAATTTATGAAGATCGTGGACCCCTTCTTGTTGCTGTGTACCATCACTTAAATTAAGACGTCACAATGCTACATGAACTATTATTTAGCCTTTATGGCTTTCCTGGTGGACTGCTTGATAAAGGAAATGATGTAAGTTATCTATTGTCATGTCAACTATTATTTAAGTAGGTAACATTCTTAACAAAAACTCTTGTGATTTGTTTTGGATTCTTTTTATATCTTAGATGGTTGAAGTCGCCTCCTTTTTACATCCTGGAGAAAGAGCTCTTATTAAGAAAATTTTGTCAATAGCCTCAGAGTACAAACAACTTAAAGAATATGTAGATTTATATAAAAATGACAAAAGAGTGCTAAAACCTCTCAATATTCAAGGTAAAGTATATTCCCTTTATGGCTTTGCTTTTGATAGATGGCACATTAATTGTTTAATTTCAATTTCAGATGATGATTCAAAAGTGCTTAGACCGGGTTTATACCTTCAAGCTTTTTTTATTGGCATTGATGAAGCCCTTGCACCCTATCGCAGTGAAATTGTTGACCTGGAGTCAAGACTCTTAGCAGATCCACAGTGTTCATTACAATTTGTCTTAACCAGAGTCTCTCCATACTCTGTTGTCTTCTCAACTCTAAATGCTCTCATCAGAGAGGTAGGTATCTTAACGTTCTATAAGAATAGAAATTTCCTCCGTCACATCTAGTTTTATAATCTCATCTATTTTTCCTTGACAGGTAGCAGCCCAAAAACTTCACGGCTGCCAGCTTCTTCAGTTATTATATCAAAACTTATTAGCTGCAGTGGAAGAAGTCCAAGTAACACTAGAAAAGTATAAAAAGTTTTTGAGAACAGCTCCCAACATGCTACGTTTTATGTATAATATCATCACTTTGAACTATTTCTTATCTGTTGTAGACTACTTCATCAGTGCCACAGTGTCTTTTTTAAACAGCTGTCAAGCTGGGTATTACATGGTGTGTTGAAGGATTCATTTCATGAGTTTTTTATTCAGCCAGTTGAGAAAACAAACACCCAGTCTTCATATTGTTCTTATTTGGTTGGTCTTTTTTAATCTAATCATTTTTAACCTTGGCATTGTCCTTTTTCACTCATGTTAGTTTTCTGTATCACTCAGGAGTATAAAATTTGTCCTGAGCTATTGCCAAGCTACATCCCTTATTCACTTGGCAATAAAGTACTTTTTATTGGCCAATCTATTGTGATGTTAAGTAATGACCCTCGAGATCAAAATACTGGTAAGCTCTACTCTCAATTCATAATTCAATTTAAGTATGCTGGTTCTTTGCTGATTCAAATTTATTCCTTTCTTTTTCTAGATACTACATGTAGTGCTTCAATTCTTGGTAGAAATAATGTCAACAATGCTTTATGGAATGAGTGTGGGCATCGATACAACGAGCGCCTTGGAAAATTGAACCAGTCATTTCTGCTTGACATTGGTTTATTTGATGAAACCATTGAAATTATCAGGAGTTTTATTACTGAGGTTTGTGAATATTATTTGTATTTGATATTTCTAAAATTTCAAACTGGCATACTATTATAATTTAGTAGTTGCCATTGTTTTTGTTACCTTAGTGACAATTTATCCCATGATAGTAGGTGTAGTATAGTTCTCCTCATTTGTTGTTTTAATCTATCATACCTGTTACAGAAACTTTGGGAACTAGCTGTAGAACAGGCCCAGCTCCCAATGCAGTTGCGGCTTATCAAGGATATGTTTCTCCTGGGAAGGGGTGAATTGTTTTTAGAGTTTATCAAAGAAGCTGGGGGTATCCTTGATAGAACTCCCTCCTCAACATTTAAGAGAGGTAAGAGGATTTTTTCAACTTTTTACCTAGTCTTTCAAATTTATTAGCAAATCATTTACATTATGGGATTTAAATAATCTGTTCCAGATATTAATCAAGCATTTCACAGTGCTGCACATAAAATTCTCCTCAGCAGTGAAGAAGCAAAAATAGAAAAATTTTACT